ACAAGGGCCTCCGCTAAGAACTCAGAAGGGTAGAGGAAAACTATTTTTCCTCCTCCATAATTCTATCTCGGGAAATCCAAGTCCTGGGCTGAACAGTGAGTTTGGTTCAAGTGCCAAGCAGTCCCGGCTGAGGGGAGGGAAGCTTCTAGGGGGAAATCAATGATACTGGCATCAAAGTAGGACAGAGGGCACATGCATGGTTGCTGGTGGGAGTTTAAAGTGGTTCAACATTTTTGGAGGATGATTTGGCAAAATCGATAGAAATGTTCAAGGTACATCCAAGAGTCTTCTAGGAATCTCATCTGCTGAGATAAAGCACGAGTGCATAAGCCCTGGTCAGAACCCAGGATGCTACTGTGGGCTCTCCTTCCATGATAGGAAAACCTGTTAACAACCTGCATTTTTAGGCAAGGTGGCATCTACACTAATAAAAAGGTAATATGCTAATTAGACTGAACATCTTCCAGACGACCTTCCGGACGTCCTTCCAGACAAAACCATGGTGGCAGGGCTGAGGTTGAGGCGGTTAGAGGAGATCAGGCAGGCAGGGGAGAGCAGTTAGGAGGATCAGGACGGCAGGGGAGAGCAGTTAAGGGTATCAGACCATCAGGGGAGAGCAGTTAGAGGGATCAGGCCAGCAGGGAAGAGCAGTTAGGGGGATCAGGCCAGCAGGCAGGTGAGCAGTTAGGTGCCAGCAGCCCTGAGGGGTCCCGGATTGGAGAGGGTGCAGGCCAGGCTGAGGAACTCCCTGCTCCCGTGCACGAATTTCGTGCACTGGGCCTCTGGTATTTAATAAAATCAAAGTAGAAAATTACCCCCAAAACGCAAAAATAGACTCAAAGTACACCAATGGGTTTATGAGGTCTTGCTATAGGCAGACTTTTCCTAATATGAACTGATTCTGGGTTCAAGCATCAGGGGGATTCTCCCAGATAAATTATATTCAGGGGCCTGGGGATGGGGACATCAAGCTGAAGAAACCTCTGGATGGAGACAGAAGAGTCCTTGCCAGCTCCTCTCAGGCAAATACAGAAACCCAATCTCTTCCAGGGACCTGCCTTGGGCTCTTCTCTGCCAGCTCCTGGGCAGGACACAGTGTACCCAGCTGCAGGGGGAACATCCCAGGCAAAGGCAGGAAACAATAAGGGAAGGTGGGCTGTGCAGGCAGAGGCCCATCTTAGTGAAGAAGGGTGGATTTTTTTTGTTTATTTTCTTTTTTTAGAGAGAGTGCGAAGGGGATGAGAGAGAGAGAAACACAATAACTAGATGCCTCCCACACCAGCCGAAATGGTGGGCTGGGGATCAAACCTGCAAAATACAACCACAAAGTCATATGGTCTTTATTTTAAGGCCTTGGACAGTATTGCAAAGAAAACTGGACAAAGAAGGAGTTTCTGTCATTAAGCTATCCTTTCTGAAGCAAAGAATGTTTGACATCCCCACAATATATGTTAACTCTACATGCTGACAGATCACAATTGTCCTTTCAAATGAACCCAGACAGTGAAGAGAACCAACAAAATTAAAGGTACAAAAGCAAAATCACAATTACAAAAACATCATAGAGCAGTGTACAGCAATCAGTTTGCAACAATTCATCACAGCATAAGGTGAGAACCACGATGTCCCTGAAAGAGGTAGCACTTCTTAGCTGAGAAAGGGGCTCTGGATGAACCCCAGGTCAGGTCCATTTCCTAGCCAGAGAGAAAGGAATTAGGATCCTGCCAAGAGCTCACAGTATTCATAATTCACTTAAGCACAAGTGAGAACACAGAATTCATTTTCCCTGAGCAGGCAGGGGTTGTGACTGATACACACTGTTCAGATGATCCAGATGGTAGAGGAGGTCACTTCAGCCACAAATACTCACAGTGACATCAATGAGGTAGGAGTCTTCAGAAACTAGCAAGTTCAATGCAGCTCCTTCAAGCCTCACTTGTACCTCAAACTTATAAGAATTTTCGCACAGTATATGTTCACATAAATGGGGTTTATATTCAGGTAAATGCATTTATGTTTCCTTCAGTGTTGTAGAGTGAGAAAGATAAAACATCCCCTGAACATTTAAGGCTTCTCTCCGATGTGAACGCTCAGATGTCTAACAAGGCTAGGTTTTCTGCTAAAACATTTCCCACATTTACTACATTCAGATGGCTTTTCCCCAGTGTGACTTCTGTGTTGCTCCATTAGCGAATGTCTTTGTCTAAAGGACTTTCCACAATCACTACACTCATACGGCTTTTCTCCAGTATGAACTCTGTGGTGTTGAATGAGGGTTGGCTTTTTTCTAAAGAACTTCCCACATTCACTACATTCAAAAGGTTTTTCACCAGTGTGGATTTTCTTGTGATGAGACAGGTAACAGCTTCTGCTGAAGGACTTCCCACAATCAGTACACTCATATGGCTTTTCTCCAGTGTGAACTCTCTTGTGGTTAAGGAGCTGATTATTTCTCCTAAAAGATTTCCCACAATCACTCATAGGGTTTTCCTCCAGTGTGAACACTGTGGTGTCCAGTGAGTTGAGACCTTTGCCTGAAGGATTTTCCACAATCACTACACTGACAGGACTTTTCTCCAGTGTGAACTCTCTTGTGGCTAAAAAGTATATTGTTGCTCCTAAAAGATTTCCCACAATCATTAAACTCATAGGGCTTTTCTCTAGTGTGAGTTCTTCCGTGTTGAATGAGGTGAAAAATTCCTCTAAAAACTTTACCACATTTGTCACATTCATATTTCACTTCTCCAGAGGAGGCATCCTGATGCTGAACAACTTTCTGGTTTTGGCTGCCAAATCTTTCACAGTTACAAGTATGGTGAAGACTTTCCACCAAGATATTCCTGGGAAATCTCACTGCCACTGTGTGGCTCCTCAGTGTTGAGAGGGGCCTGGTGCTGGAGAAGCCCTGACATGGCTGGGAAGTCTTTCCCAACCTCCCTCCTGCTTGAAGGCACCCAAGGTAAGTAGAAGCTGCACCTGGTCACAAACAAGGCCCTGTCCATGCCTTCTTTCAAGAGCTTCTCTCTACTGGAATCCCTCTTTTGCTGTGAGGATTTGCATTGAAACAGAAATCTCTCACACATGCATCAATGAAGAAGGCTTTCTGCTCAAAGTATGCTGCTTGTGACTCAGTCAAGTGCAGAGTATCTTTGAACACTGAGACACACCACTTACACATATGGGTCCTCTGAGTTGCAGGAGCTGTCTCAGAAGCCCTGACCTGTGACTCTCCTTGTACAGATATGCTCTGCTCAGGACAGACCTCCTCATCATCTGTTTTATGCCAACAAATTGAAAAGAGAAAACTGAGGAGGAACTGAATGTTGACAGTGGTGAGAGGGGAAGTCCCATTGCTAAAGTGTTTTGCACATAATACATGGGTTCCATGCAATTGTCTGAAAATAAATGATATGCAGGAAGAAATAACAAGAAGCTTCTTTGAAGGGGGCCTCTGAAGGTCACAAAACAGGAAATACCTCACCAGAATCATGACACACACATGGCAAAAACCACGTGGAAGAGAAGATGCATTTCCAACTCAGTCCTCTGGTAAGAGTGCTCAGCAGGGCTGGTCTAATGATGACAGGGGCAAGCTGTGCAGAAGATTGGTTATGTCTTATTCCAAGTAAAATTCAATAAACAAGTAGCAGGGGTTCAAGTTCTACTTAAGCATGCATGTGCACCTCATAACACATGTGCAGGTCTATGTAGCAGAATATTGCAGAGGGAGCAGTGCAGAGGGACAGGTGATGCAAGAAAGGTGACAAAGGTGAAGGTAGCCCAAACCAGTAAGTCACAGATGAAATGCAAGTCAGCAAAGTGTCAACTATGGGAAAGAGAAGGTAGAAATGGTGTGTAGCCATGGCACTTTCTCTTAAACGTGTTGGAAATTAGCTGGTTCTGGGTATCATCTGACCACCACAATTATTTCAAAACTTCCTCCAGTTTTAACTCAGCATGGCCAGACCTCATCTGAGACCATCTTGCATGTGCACCCTGTGAGGAAATCAGGTTTCTCCCTGATCTTCTACTCTACCAATGCATAAATCTTAAATATTCCAAGTATTAATGAAAGACAACAGAGAGCAGCCAGCTCTGCCCCAGAACATTTTGGCATGCAATAGAACTCAGTTAACGTAATATTACAAACAACAACTGAAGAAGGGTCTTATTAGAATTTCCCATGATTCATGTAAGTGAAAAACAAAACCTGGCACAGGCTGTCATAAAGCATCTTTCCCTAGAGGAAGGGGGAAGAAGGGAATAAATGTCCATATTGTCATCCTCCCAGGGAGAGGAAGAGGAAGATGGGACCCATTAAGCTGCCTGTAAGAGTCCTGATTCCCAGACACTTTCTGCTCTTTTTGAGGCAATGGGTGTTAGGGATGTTCATGGAGTCTATTGGTCAGGGCTCTCCACACAGCTCAGCACCAGCAGCCACAGCACATTTGACAAGACAGTGGCGGAAATTAGCAGAACCCATGGTCTGGCTGTGGGAGAGAGAAATCTATATTTTGAGAATAAAGGAAGAAAGGACATCACCTCATGACACTGGGACAATGTGAAGATATCATCTACAGATGAAACGAGTACAAAAACTTCCAGCATCACATCACAGTACAGAAGTCTCTGAGCCTCATGAAGGAGCCCCCACTCCTCCTGAGAGAAGGCAATGGCCACATCCTCAAAGTTCATAACCTCTCGTAATGGAGACAGTTCAGTCCATGATCAGCTTCTGTCCTAGGCTTTTACTTTTGTCATACTTCACACTCTCCATATCCATCTGCTCCCCCTACTCCTACATCACAGATAACAGCAAACCTTGCATCCACCGGAGTCACTCTCTCCTTTTCCTGATACTGTGTCTTCCCACAGCAATAAAGGCAGGCACCTGGACTGATTATACCTGACCTCAGGGCCTCATAGTTAGGGTCAACACAATGGGTGTCACCATAACGGCTACAGATAAATGTTGGCTGTAAAGAGAGATGTGAATGTTTTGACACTGGTCTTGTGTAGCAATATCCTTTCTGCCCCACAGATTCCCCCTCCAAGACCCCAAAAAACATGGCATCACTCGTCACCCTTTTGATTCCAATCCTAGGGTGCTGAGGATAACACTTTTGCTACCTGTGCCACATAATTCTTCCTATCCCACTTCTCTCATACAGCTTCATTCACAGAGTCACAACTTTAGAGACAACACATATAAGCTATGTAGAGGAGGGGTTGTTTTCTAATCACCTTTTTTCAAAATTCTAACTCACCACCTCTGTATTTCTCTCTTACCCTTCTCTCTTCCAAAATCCGGCAGAAATTTTCAAGCCCAGGTGACACTGATGTATGCTATCACATTCCTATTGATCACTGTATCAGCCCCACAACAACAGGTAGGTGTGCACCTATATGACACCTAAATTCTGGGCCTGGCATGTAGCACCACATCACCCGTCTTTTCAGGAATTACCCTAATATTTCCCATGTTGTATCATCCAGTTATCACCAGAAATGGACTCAAACTTCGTTCCCTCTTATGTCAACATCAGGGATCTGTGGCCAGGAATTCACACTCCCTCTCCAAGAGCACATCACTCCTTCTCCCACACCTCTCTCACACCTGCACTCCCGTAGCCCCAGCTCCCATAGACATCTCCTTCGTCTTAGTCATTACTCACCATGTGTGTTCCAGAGACTGCATGGCAAGTTGAAACAGTATCAAGTACTATCCTGACTCTGAATGCCCACACCAAAGACACAGCCTTCAGTTCTGCTATGAAGGCCTCCCTCCCAAATTGTTTTTTCCTTCAGCCTCACCTATTGAGAACCACATCAGATCTCAGTTATTTAGAGCCCAACTCTACTGGTGCTGCACTTGATGTCCCTTCTCCACTCACAGCCCTCAGTACTCAAGTCCCACTGCCTATGACTCTCTACCCCATGCCCAGTGAGTCTCACAGATGCCCACTCCTGCCCATAAGCAAATCTACCAAACTGGATGCAACACACCAGGTCACACAAAGATCACAAGAAATTCTGGTGAGTGTTTAAGAAGTAAATATAGCCCTGGCTGGTTTGGCTCTGTGGATAGAGCATTAGCCTGCAGACTAAAGGGTTGCAGGTTCGGTTCCGGCCAGGGGGCACATGTCCGGGTTGTGGGCTTGATCCCCCAGTGGGGGTGTTGTGCAGGAGGCAGCTCTTTGGTGATTCTCTCTCATTATTGATGTTTCTCTCTCTCTCTCTCTCTCTCTCTCTCTCTCTCTCTCTCTCTCTCCCTTCCTCTCTGAAATCAATTAATAAAAGAAGCAAATATGCACCAGCCACAATCTCACCTTTTTTGAATTACTCGTCCCCCTCCAATAAAAAAAAAAAAAGGTGATCTATAACTCCTCCGTGGTCCATACACTTTACTATTTTTTAGGTAGTCTTCATCTTGAACTACTTCTCAGAGTTCCAGATGGTCATGAACTGGCCTCTGAACTATCTCATACCCTAAAATGCAAAAAATAAAAGATTTTATGTTCTTCATGAATATTACTTTTCCCACTATGAATTTCTCCATCTCAGTTGATGGTATTTTCATACCATCAGGTACTAAATCCAAACCTTTACCCCTCTCTCCAATCCTCAAAATTAGAAAATCCAGGTGGCCACACCTAAAACCCTGACCCATAATGAAACTGCTTCTTCCACACCCACAACCACCATTGTTCTCCAGTTACCATCACACTCACCAACACTATCACAGCAGCTTCCATCCTGGGCTTTCTACCACTGTCCTCACACCCATAGTGTGCATCGTGCTGCAGTCACAGGGAGTCTAATGAGACCTGGACAGATCACCTGCTCTACTGACCAATTACCCCAATGACCCCATCACCAGCAGAACAGAAACCCAAGTAGTCACAAAGCTCCTCTGGACTTGATTCCTGTCCCACTGTTTGCAGTTCCTATTTTTAAAAAATGGACCCCTGCTTGTCCCTGAATCATCTTAGTCTTCACTTCAAGCCTTTGCACATTCTGGAACCCATGCATGGAAGGACCTGTCACACACAATTCCACTGGCTGCCAAAATCAGGTGCCACTCATATGACCCTTGACCTGGACTTAGGGTTCTGGGCTCGGTGTCTCTTCAAGATCCCCAGGTCCAAGGTCCCCCGAGAAGAGGGGCTGGACAGCCCCAGGACCCCACTACCTCAGAGGCCACGATAATGTGAGGCCCTGACACCCCCACAGCCCAGTCCCCTCAGCGGCTCTCACCTGCAGGAACCTGTGGGAACTAAAGGGCTGC